AGCCTGTGGGTGCGGGCCGAGGGCTCCTGCAATTGCAAGTGCGGTATTTCCCCAACAGACCACCAGGGCGGCCGAGAAAACCTTTGTTCAACCTGAAAAGACTCATTTAATCATCCAAAACGTTATGGAACACATTAATTAACTGAAAAATGTTGCATAGTGTGCCTTTAACTGATGGAAGAAGGACGAGAACAAATGTTGGTCTGGAAATGGATCGGTCCATGATTTAACACTAGTGTCCAGGAATATTTCAGCTGCCTGTGAAATGCGATTTATTGGACAGCAGAAATCATTACCCAGTTTTCTGGAAGAATCTCCTCACTAATAGAGGCTCAAAGGAAAATGATTGAAAATCTGTTGATGTTTCCAATGAGGGGACATGTGAAAATGTTGGACTGTTCATTTCTCAGCGTAAGACTATGTGTTTCCCAGAGACATGTAATGTCCATATCTGCTAGCTGAAAGAGACTGATGGTCTGACCTCCTCCTCCTTTCAGGGTGGAGCCTGCTGGAGAACGATGGTTGACACCAGGTCTGAGGAAGTGTAAGTTTGTTTTCATTGATTCCTGACAGCAAAGCAGCTCATATTCAACCATCTTCAAACTGTCCATCAATCACTCAGGAGGCTTCATCAAAGCTTCAATAAATGACCAATAACTGCTTCCGAATTGTGTTTGTTCTCTCCACCAGATTCCCGTCAGATCACCATCGACCCAAACTCAGTGAACAGAAACCTGAAACTGTCTGAAGGCAACAGGAAAGTGACACTGATGGAGGAGCTTCAGTCCTATCCTGATCATCCAGACAGATTTGATGAACCTCAGCTGCTGTGCAGTGATGGTCTGACTGGTCGGCATTACTGGGAGGTTGAGTGGAGAGATGGAGTTGATATATCAGTGAGTTACAGAAGAATCAGGAGGAAAGGAGACAGTGGAGACTGTTGGTTTGGAGAGAATGATCACTCCTGGAGGCTCTACTGCTCTAATAATTTTGGTTACATTGTCTGTCACAATAAAAGACAATCACGTATCTCTTACGCCTCTGCCTCTAACAGAGTGGCAGTCTATGTAGACTGTCCTGCTGGCATCCTGTCCTTCTACAGAGTCTCATCTGACTCTCTGATCCACCTCCACACCTTCAACACCACATTCACTGAACCTCTGCATCCTGGGTTTGGGTTCTCTAGATCCGGTCCTGGTTCCTGGGTGTCTTTGTGCTGAGACGAGTCGGAAGGGTCTCCTCCTGTCACTGTTAAACAGTTCATTTAATAAGTTCACTCAAGTTCTGGGCCATTTGAATGAGTCAGTAATTCAATAGTCAGATAAATTCCAAAGAAAAAATTAAAATCAATCCGCTGGACTTTGTTTCCAAGTTTGAAGACGTTTATCTTCCATCCAGGAAGATTTTTCAATTCCAAATGTCAGAAATAGCGTTTAGTTCCAGGTTTTATGCAGCAGCCCAACAAAGCCTGGTTTTAGTTTAGAAAACATGCAAATAGAAACGGATGAACGGGTCCCCCCCTTTGGAATGGGGGTCGTTTGGCTTCTTTGTTAGCCTGCAATGCCCCAACAGGCTAACAAAAGCTAAAAAAGTCCAGCTTCTTTTTTTGAAATAACTATGACGTGGATGACAAACAATCCTCACCAGCAAATAATCAGGGATAGTTCTATCTGTTCAAAGATTTATATTTCTATATCTGTTTTTCTTTTTCAATGTTCTGAACGAATATTATCTGATATTAAAGTGAATAACTGAATTCTTTTCTCTTTTGTGGTTATTAAATGTTCTGAGTTGATTCAGAAACAGAAACACGAACCACCTGAAAAAAAAAACAGGAGGAACAACATCAAACTCTAAAAGGAAACCTAACAAAACTCTGAAACCTAAAACATTTAGAACAGATTCATTGCTCAACTGTTTATTTGGACCTTATTTCTCCTGGACGTGTTTTCAAAATCCACTTTCTGCTCATAGGACTCAGAGTCAGTTCCAGACGTTCCAGTAAGCTCCCAGTCATAAAACAATCCTACCCAGTTCAGTTTATGGAGACAAAGTCCATGGAGGAGCAAGTTTACGGCTTTCAGGTTGTGTTTGGCTGCAGAGAGGAGTTGAGGGTGGGGTTTGGGGGGGCATGTGGGGAGGTTTTGAGTTTGATGTTGAGGAAACAGATTCAGCTGTAGAGTTGGACTGGGTTCAGATGATACAGCTCTGGGGGGCTCATGGGGGTCCAATAGAAGATTTAATGCTGGTTTGTTGAGGTAATAATCTTTGGACCAAAGGATCAGAGATCCGGAGTTAGCTCCCAGCTTCAGCTGCTGCAGCTAGAAACCACTGGAACATTGTTAAAAGGCCTCCATAATGCAAAAGTCATGCAACTTGCTGACACCAAAAACAGATAAAAACAGTGTTTGTGTTACTGTTAACGATGGTGTAATTTTTATTGAACATCTTAACATATAAAACAACTAATGTAAAGCGGTGCTGTAACTTATAGTCTGGTTTGTTGCTGAGGCGTTACTGGAGCAAAGTATACAAAGGGATTCAAATTAACAGCTTTTGTTAACTTTCCAGAAAGCTTCCCGCATGATTTTAAAGGTTATTCTAAACTAGAGTTCTCCTTAAAGTTCCGATCTTCTTCAATTATTTTGGGATTACTTCACAAGTTTGACATCATTGAAAAGCTTAGACTCCACTTCTTTTGGATGTGAAATAAATCAAAACAGCCCCAGATGGACTTGATCATGGATTTGTCCCAAATGAGAAGAAACGGTCCAAATGAGTGACAGGAAAAACTAAGAGTTACACCAAGTTCAAAAAGACATTTATAACTCAGCTTATTATTTTCTTTCAAATGTCACAAATACAGAGCAACGAAATTCCCTCTCTGCATCTAACCCCTCCCCTTGGGCAGCAGTGGGGGATTAAGGGTCTTGCTCAGGGACCCAGAGTGGCAGTCTGTGGGAGTGGGGCTCGAACTTAGAACCTCTGGATTTCATGCTCTATGCCCTGACTACTAGGCCACCACTCCCCTAATGGCCGCCACTCTAACAAATCTAGTTCTGTCCGTACATTTTCTAGATTATAGATTTTGATATTTTCTAATAATATAATCAAGCTAAATATGTAAAGTCTTTTAAAAATATTTATATCATCTAATAATCTGATTCAGATTTCAATTGATGCTATATAGCTATTTATCCAACAGATGAAATAAGATGAATAAAAACATCCAGGAAAAACTCCAGCTATCTATAAAAAATATACAACCTTCAGAAAAAGTGTTGAGAATGAAATTTGAAATTGAGCCTCTGGGGAAAAGCAGAAACCAATAAGTGAACACAGTTGACTGTAACAGTCACAGCTTATTCATTTCCCTGCTTCATGAAGCCTCGTGTGTCTCTTTAAACTTCCCTTCTGGCTAAATTTATGGCCACACAGGTAACAACAGAAAGGTTTCTGCATCGTGTGAATTCTCATGTGTCTGTTTAGATTTCCTTTCTCGCTGAATCTCTGTCCACACAGGTCACAACAGAAGGGTTTCTGTCCGGTGTGGATCCTCATGTGTGCATTTAAATTTCCCTTCAGACTAAATCTCCTTCCACAGAGGTCACAACCAAACAGTTTCTGCTCTAAGTGGATCCTCATGTGTTTGTTTAAAAGTCTCTCCTGAATAAATCTTTGTCCACATTGGTCACAACAGAAAGGTTTGTCTCCTGTATGGATCCACATGTGTGTGTTTAAATTGACTTTCTGGCTAAATCTCTGCCCACAGAGGTCACAACAGAAAGGTTTCTGTCCGGTGTGGATCCCCATGTGCCGGTTCAAATTTCCCTTTTCACTGAATCTCTGCCCACAGAGGTCACAACAGAAGGGTTTCTGTCCGGTGTGGATCCTTGTGTGTCTGTTTAAACTTTCTTTCCTGCTAAATCTCTGCCCGCATCGGTCACAACAGAAAGGTTTCTGTCCTGTGTGGATCCTCAGGTGTGTGTTTAAATGTACTTTCCGACTGAATCTCTGTTTGCAAAGGTCACAGCAGAAAGGTTTGCTTCCTGTGTGAATTGTCTTATGCATATTTAACTCGTGTTTTTCAGTGAATGTTTTACCGCAGTCTTCACAGATAAATTCAGTCGTTTTTTTGGAACTCCTTTGTGAGTCTACATTGTTCTCTTTAAAACTTTTCATTTTATCCAGGGAGCTTGAAGGTCCAATTTCTGAGTGTTTCATGTCTTTCTGAAGAAGTTGTACAGCAAACTCAGAGGAGCTAAAATGTTTATCAGCCATGTTTCCTTCTGGCTCAGGAGCTGTGACCTTCTTCCAGCTAATTTCCATGTTCTTAGTTTTCAATCCAAAAGCTGCTAACTGTTTTAGCTCAGAGACGGAGAGCTCCACATCACTGTCCTCTTCTGTCTCTGAGGAAATGGACCCATCTTCATGATCTTGTATCCTCATGGATTCTTCTCCTCCATGGTTCTCTACTGGAAGCTCTCTGCCTTTAATGTGGTGGTGGTAAAGCTGTGGGAGCACAGAGGAATGTTTATCATCCTCACTCTTTATTGGAGCAGCAGTGATTGGAAACTTGATGGCATCAATCTCCTCCTTGAGACCGAGCTGCTCTCCCCCCAGACTGGTGCAGACTTCCTCCTGTTCCTCCTTTATGTGGTGGGGCTCTGGGTCATGCAGGTCAGGAGAAGGTTTGTGGTCTTCAGGAACTTCTTCTTTAACCGTCTGCTTAAGATCTGCAGGATGACAACATTAAAATGTATAAGGTGTCAGGGTTCGGCGTTTCTGTGCTCTGCTTACTTTCTTCCACAGGTGGTTGTTGCTGACAGGTGGGCGGGGCCCCCTCACCTGCAGCCAATGAGGCTGCTGTTGTTCATTAGAAGCAATCATCCATTTTATCAGGCTGCATCATTCTATATTCTGTAACATCTGGATGTTTGGCACTGAATTCACCCGTTAACATCTGGATGTTTGGCTCTAAATACATCCGTTAACATCTGGATGTTTGGCTCTGAATTCAACCGTTAACATCTGGATGTTTGGCTCTAAATACATCCGTTAACATCTGGATGTTTGGCTCTGAATTCAACCGTTAACATCTGGATGTTTGGCTCTAAATACATCCGTTA